CAAATGAGATCTTTGGTCAGGTCTCGTATGCTTCCCGTAGCATCCCCTGAGGCCAGCGTGAACAGGGTTTGCAAGACCTGCCCCTCCCCGGCTCCCCCAAAAGAAGTGTGTGTTGCTAGGGCAGGCCCTCCCTGGCCTTTGGTTGTGGATGAGGGCCAGGGAAGGGCCTGCCCTAGCAACACAGTTAATTTTGGACAAAATAACTGGACAAGCCCTAAAACTTGTAGGACTTACATTTTAAAAGGCTAAGAGTGGCCAGGTGTGGTGGCTCATGACTGTAATCCCAGCACTTTGGGAGGTTGAGATGGGTGGATCACTTGAGGTCAGGAGTTCGAGACTAGCCTGGCCAACACAATGAAACCCTGTCTGTACTAAAAAAATACAAATTAGCCAGGTGTAGTGGTTCATGCCTGTAATCCTGGCTACTCAGGAGGCTGAGGCAGGAGAATCGCTTGAACCTGGGAGGTGGAGGGGTTGCAGTGAACCGAGAATGTACCACTGCACTCGAGCCGGGGTGACAGAGCGAGACTCCATCTCAAAAAAAAAAAAAAAAAAAAAAAAATGCTAAGAGTTACTGGTGGAGGAGGAAAGATTAGATCCCAGAGTCTCAGCAGGGGAGAGTTGGGTGTCTAAGCTCATTTAGGCTGGATTCTGGAGAAATTTGATTGGGAAGGAGTAGTGTTTAGGAAGAAGAAAGAGTTTTTAAAGCAATCACTCTACTGCTTTGTAGAGTGATGAGAAAGTGTGTTTTAATAGATTTCGATGTGCACTTGTGAATGGAATCCCCATTTGCTGTGCTTTTGAGAGACTTCAGGCAAGATTTAAATTGCTTTTCAGTTCCTTTTTTTTTTTTCTTGCATCCTTTGACTATAACTCCAGGCTGGCTTCAGGGTAAAAGCAAGCCTCCTGAGCTCTATGCAAGTTGTCTTAGGAGTCGCCTTCATTCTCCTTTTTTCCTGTCCTGGGGCCAGTTATCTATAACATTTAAGACTGCATCAGTCTGAGCTCTTCTGATGCCTCTTACCTCCTTCGGGATGCTCTTCCCTATTCTTCCCGCCTCACTCCCAGTCATCCTCAGGTCACAGCTGGACGCCATTTCTTCAGAGAGGTCCTCAGTGGTCCTTTCAGTCTTAAGTGGAACTGTTTTATTTTTCTCTTTCATCGAACGCTGTTATTTTTCTCTTTTCATTGAATTCTCTTGTTCTTCCTTATAACACTTCTCATGATTTGTAAGTACATCTGAAAAACGTTTGGGGGTGGGAGCAGTGGCTGACGCCTGTAATCCCAGCACTTTGGGAGGCTGAGGCAGGCGGGTCACCTGAGGTCAGGAGTTCAAGACAAGTCTGGCTAATATGGTGAAACCCCGTCTCTACTAGCTGGGCATGATGGTACACACCTGTAATCCCAGCTACTCGGGAGGCTGAGGCAGGAGAATTACTTGAACCCGGGAGGCGGAAGTTGCGGTGAACCGAGATCGTGGCATTGCACTCCAGCCTGGGCAACGAGAGTGAAACTCCGTCTCAAAAAAAAAAAACCAAACATCTGTGTCAGGAGGAGACATTTGCCATTATTTTGTGAAAGAGGCTAGAGAAAGAAGGTGACTGGCTGAGATTAAATAATGTAAAAATGATAAATGTCAGCTGACTGTGTGTTTAACAAAACACAAAAGTCACTTTAAACCCCATCTCCACTGTGGCTCTGGACTGCTTTAAATAGCTCCCAGAGAATTTAATGGAAATCTACTAACACCCTGTACCTGTGAATAAAAGGCAAATTGTCTGTATTCTCAGGTCCTAAAATGTATTCTGTCTTTTTCTTGAAATGAACATTTGCACTAACTGGCTATAGACAGTCGAGGTAGGAACACTGATGCCTGCTGTGTGTATTTGCTGGCTTAAGGGGCCGCTTAGTATCATTTAAATCTTATTTGTGCTGCTGTATATGAAGATTTTTGATCATGCCTTTTGCTCAAGCCTTTTCCTGGACAAGGGATTAAATTTTGCCCAGGAACTCTTATGAATGGAAGAGACTGCCAAGGCAGATGGATTTGCTAAAAGGCAATAGTTCATATATATAATAACCCTCCACATTGGTGAACTTTTTGATTACAAGAGTATTGAAAATTTTATCACTGGGTCATATGCTGCAAATCTGTTTTCAGAAAAATAATTCACATTTTATAGGGAGAGCACTTTGAGCCACGTAGAAATTATGGCTTGTACACTATTTACTGTTAAGAACATTTATACTCGGTCTTACTCATAATTGCCCGTGGTAGGAACTGGATCATTATCTATTTTTAAAAGAATCAGCAAAGTGATATTTGCCCAATTCCTATGTGAGAAAACCTTCTAGATATGGTAGTGTTGAGATTAGTTAAATTGGGTCTTTCTGAATTCATGGCTAGGTTAGTCATGACATTGATTTCAGCTTCATAATCTTTAAAAAAATCTCTTCTTCATTTTGGCATTTGGTCTTGGCTTCTTTTGACAATGTGGAATATTGCAGGGACTCGTCTTTCTCTCCTTTCCTGCAGTTGTATGAGAAGTACTACCATTTTATATTCCAAAAGATGTCACAAAGATAAACTACAGAGATATAAAGTAGTGTTTTTTTTATTTTTATTTTTTTAAGTGTGTGTAGGATCAGCTCCAAGGATTTCAATGAGAAGTTATGAAGAAATACTTTAAATATATACAAATTAGAGATTATAGAATAGAATAATGAGTCCAATGCCCAGATTAAATCATTACCAAGATTTGACCACACTGGCTTTATTTTTACTTTATTTATTTTTTGTTGAAGTATTTTATAGCAGATCCCAGAAACCACATCACTGTTCTCCTTCATAGCTGTATGCATGTCCACAACATGGGAGGGTTCCTTTAATCAGCTTTGCATCTTGATCTACATGCATGTTAAGTACCAACTGTGTTATCAGGCACCCTGCCAGGCATTAAGGACACTCGAATGGATAAGACCAAACCTGTCTCCCAAGGAAATTAAGGATCGATGAGAGAAACAAAAACATGAGATTACAGATGCCTTATGGTACCTGCCAGATAACTCCTATGAGCTGAACTTTGTGCAAAATACAGTGGAAATGTAGAAGAGGGACTGGTCGGCTGTGCAGGGCAGGGTGCTGAGAGAAGAGGCCAGAAAGGGCTGTGAGTGGTGGAACTCTTGGAGCAGCGTCTTCAAATATCAGTGGGCAAACAGAGAAAGGTTAGGATAGAAGGAAGGGTCCCTGCTATTTGCGTTGGGGAGGAAGCATCCCTTCTTATTCTGCTTGCTCACCAGTCAGCATCAGCCGAGCGCCCAATCTCATGCCAGGCCCTGTCCTGGGCATACAATAGTAAGTAACACACAGTCTTCAGGTACAGGAAGTCATACCTGAATGGGGGGATTTTGACACACAAGCAGGTAATTTTAATAAATAACCTCAACAGGGATCTGAAAAAATAGAGGACTCATTCTTAGTGAAACAGTGGAACAGGATGGATCATCAGTCATGTCACAGCTAGAGTCAAAGGTTGGCCTGTGTGTTAACCAGATTATATTCATTGAATAATAATATTAATAGCAACTAGCATTTATTGAGAACTTATGATAAATACACTGCTGAAGTGCTTTAAATGGGTTATTGCACTTAAACCTCACAACGTTGACTTGTACTATGACTACTGTCTCCGCTTTACAGTTTGGTGTGGCCCCCTTCTCATCGAGGGTTCACCCCAGAGGTCACCTCCTTGCCCACCTGCCCTGGCTGACGCAGCACCACTCAGCACCATCAGCCCTCACAATGACTGTTTGTGTTTGTCCCAGCATCCACCTGCATGCTGTTTCCCAGGGCTGAGGCCTAACTCTTCCCACAAGAGTGTCAATGCCATGAGAGCAGGCCCTTCATCTCCCTGCTTGTTCTCCTGAACCTGCCCTGCACAGTATTGTGTTCTCAGTAAATACTTGTTAACCAACTGTCGTGGGCTATTATGGACTTTCAGTGCATGGCAGTTTTGTCGGAGTTTGAATGAGCCTTTATGTGTTTTTTCATGGTCTAAGTTTTGGATCAGCTGGAGCAATGATTAGCCAGTCTGTGTGATTGGTTATTAGAGCTATTGGCGGGCTGTGTGTGTTAACACAGGTTGGCTGGGAGCAGTGGCTCATACCTGTAATCCCAGTACTTTGGGAGGCCAAGGTGGGAAGATCGCTGTAGGCCAGGAGTTCAAGACCAGCCTGGGCAACATGGGGAGACCTTGTCTCTACAGGAAAAAAACAAAACAAAACATAAAATAAAATTAGTTGGGCATGGTGGTGTATACCTGTAGTCCCAGCTCCTCAGGGGGCTGAAATGGGAGGATTGGATTGCTTGAACCCAGGAGGTCCAGACTGCAGTAAGCTATGATTGCACCACCACACTCCAGCCTGGATGACAGAGAAAGACCCCATCTCTTAAAAAAAGAGATACTTTTCGACTGTCTGTGCATCCAAATTTCTCCATCTTTAATTCAAAGATGCTAAACTATTTTGGAGTGAGCAGCTGTAGAATTTAACTTTTTTTTCTAATTTAGCTATCTACTTTTCTTCATTTTTCTCATATTTTAGAGAAATATTTTTGATTTAATGTTCTTGGTTGTTGATAATGAAGGCCCTTCAAATATGAGTATTTTCTTGAAAAAAAAGTATGTCTCTAACTCAGATATATGAAAACCAACTTTTGTTCTAAGTTTATTATTTCAAAACAGGTAATTTTTGAAATCAAATCCTGTCTTTGCAGAAGAGAGAAGCTATAATGTAATACCTGTTTTTGCTGTATGAAAACCACGCCAACTTTAAAGTCCTTTTCCAGGGTCATTAAAAACAGAGGAAATATTTTTTGTTACTCTTTGAGTTTGATGGTTGAGGCATTTGTCTTCAAATTACCAAGTTTTACAACTTAGATTAACTATATTTCCTGCACCCTCTCCAAGCACTTTTGTGATGTTTTGTAACTTCCATCACAGGCACGCATAGAGGCTGGGCTGCGGTCCAGATGCGTTTGCTCCATGAACTGGTCTACGCCTCCCGAAGGATGGGGAACCCAGCCCTCTCTGTCAGACACCTGTCCTTCCTTCTACAGACCATGCTGGACTTCTTGTCGGATCAGGGTGAGTGAGCTCAAACCACGATTTTTTTTTTCCAGGGACTGTGAATGAGAGCACTTTAGATGCTGGTTCATGTAAACCCTGGGCTTGGGTTTCAGCGGGTGGAAGACACTGTCCAGCTCCTCGTCAGTGAGAAGATCCCTGCCCCCTGCCTTGGCTCCCTCCTTCCACGCTCATTTCTCTGGGACCCCTGTGCCACCTCCTCCCACCTTGACGCCATCCCCTCCTGCTCTTCGGCCGGCCAGCACACTCCACGGCTTTTCCCTCCGCCTCTCAGGCTTCTTCTCAGCCTCCTGTGTTGCCTCCCATTTCCTTAGCCTGCCTTTTATAAAATATAAATGTCAAAGCATAACATTTACATAGAGGAGTACACGACTCGTAGGAATGTATCTCAGTGATCTCAGTGAATTCTCACCAAGTGGCCACCGCTGTAATCAACACCCGGATCAGAGACGGGCACGAGCAGAAAGAACCCAGGGCCCCTTGTGCCCCTTCTAGTCACTGGGTGACTCCATCCTCCCTTCCAGAACCAAAGATGAGGTTTGTGTACGTTTGCTCTCATGGGGCCACGCGGTGTCTCTGCCCCTGTTTCAAGGTTGCCTTTCTCCCAGGCTCCTTTCTTGGCCTTCATCTTCTCTTCTTATGCTGCTCCTGGGTGCTATCTGCTTTTTGATAGCAGGAAACATGACCTGTTTCCCTACGCACTTGGGGCTCAGCCGCCCCAAACCTGCCTTCCTGCCTGTACCCCTGACCCTGGCCCAGTGTGTGGTGCCGGCTGGGTTCTCAGGGAAGTGCTGTCTGCTGTGGAGACTGATGTGTGCAGAGCGTATTGGGAGGTACTCATGGGATCAGCCCCGTGGAAGGAAAGAGACGGAGGCGAAACTAGACAGTGGGAGAAGCTGGGCTTCAGTGCTATATCGACACAGGCCTCAGCCGCATGGGGAGCTCTGCACTGCCGTGCCCTGCAGACGTGTCCCATGTTGTTCTGAGGGGCCGGGCCTTTCTCCTCTCTCACTGACCAGCAGTTGGATGCAGGCTACCCTGGGTGATGTGGTTCTCTTCAGCAAGGAGACAAGGCTTCTGCTGACCCAGCAGGGCCTGTGCAGCTGGGAAGCTGTTGGAGAGATCTCTGGCGATGGGAGGGCCGGGACTTCCTGTCCCTGTGCCAGGCCCTGGGTGCTCACCACTCCCAGGAAAGGGTAGGGTCTCAAAGGGCTCTCTCCCATCGAGCACAGCCTCTGGGAAGGCAGCACTCTCCCCTGGGGAACGGGCTCTTCTCCCTGCAGGCCGTCTGGTTGGCTCATTACTGCCCCCTGCAGTGCTGCTCTGTCACTGCTGCTGTCCAGGCAGGGACTCCGCTCCCTCACTCTCATGTCCTGCCATCTCACAAATTTCGTGCTTCTCTGCTTTTCACATTTCTAAAAGCAGTACACCTTTCTCTCCAGCCCTCCACCCACTACTTTCCCCTGGCTATTCTCTGTCTGTCTTCCAGTAGGCTCTGGCTCCAGGGTAATGTGGGGTGTGCATCTCTGAGGGTAGTTGTGAGGTTTAAATGCACTAATTCTGGCCGGGCATGGTGGCTCACTCCTATAATCTGAGGACTTTGGGAGGCCCAGGTGGGCGGATCACCTGAGGTCAGGAGTTCGAGACCAGCCTGGCCAACATGGTGAAACCCCGTGTTTACTAAAAATGCAAAACTTAGCCAGGGGTGGTGGCGGGCCCCTGTAATTCCAGCTACTCAGGAGGCTGATGCAGGAGAATTACGTGAACCCAGGAGGCGGAGCTTGCAGTGAGCCAATGTTATGCCATTTTACTCCAGCCTGGGCAACAAGAGTGAAACTCTGTCCCTTCCACCCCCGCCCAAGAAAAAAGAAACCCAGTATACACTAAGCAGCCCTCATAGAGCCCCTCTTCTCGCTGCACCTATTGAAATGCTAGCATTCTTTAAAGGAAACATTGATTTCTCTATAGTGATTTCCACGGCCATCTCTATGAGAAAGGAATTCTCCTTTTGTGAACTCCTGTGGTTCTTTGTTGCCAAGGTTCTGAAGGCACACACCGCTTACTGTGGCCGTTTGCATCCTCGTGTGCAGTAGCTGTTGTTTGCTGTTGAGGACTTCTGGTGACCCAGGTGAATCTCTGCTCTGACCGGGGCCCCTGCGACAGACGTGCAGCTTCTTTTCTGCGTGTATTGGGTCGCTGTTGCTTTTGGGGCTGCATTTGAACTGCGCTTTTCTTGGCTGTACCTGCAGAGTGAGCAGGTGGCCAGCAGGGCCACCGTGGAAGCTGGCTGCATGGCCCATTTGCACTCTGGTGTTTCGGTGACGGGAGGGAGCAGCAGGCCAAGGCAGGGCTCCCAGAGCCACCTGTGTCTCCTGCTGGGCCTCCGTGACGGCTTGGGCAGTGGTCTTGTGTTACCTGCTGTAGTGAATTTTTGCTCTCCCCAGCCCCTGGGAGTGCTGCCCACCTCCCCCGCTCTGCTGGGATTTCTTGAGCCTCCCCGCGATCCAGCAACTCTAAGGAGGCAGAGCCTGGACTCTGTTTGTGCAGGGTCTTAGAATCTCGGGTGCCATTCCTGACCCATGGCACATCCATCTGCCCCTGTAGCCAGGACTTTGTTCTCTCCTGGTGGCAGTGTCCCCACGCACCTCACCTCAGCAAGCACAGTTCCCACGGCTGGTGAGTTGTGTTGACACGGCCCTGAGCCCTTCGCCTGAGCCGTCAGTGTCACTCCTTTGCCTGCTGCGTCTGCTGCATCTTGAACTTCTTCAGCACACACCTTCCTTCCCACAGTAGGGCTGGTGCACCTTCCCTGTCCCCACACTCTGCGCCTTCACCACGTGACTCCTCTTGGGCCTGGCCTCCTCTTGAAAGCCTTCATGAGTCTTTAGCTAGACCAGGAACTCTGGGCTTCTGCTGTCTTCCTTCCTGCACTTACCACAGTTACAATTCGGTCATCAGTTGCGTATTTAGTTGATCCATGCTTGTCTCCCTTCATGGGAGAAGACCTCATTCTGCCTGCTGTCTACCTGGAGCTGGACCTGGCAAAGACTAGATGCCAAGCGCATGGCTGCCGAGGTGTGAGTGATGTTGTCACAGCCCTTGCCTTCATCATGATTACTTATGGGAAAGTTGATTCTGACTTGGGTCCTCAGGCATTTTTCAAAAGCACATTCTTGGCCAGACATGGTGGCTCACTCCTGTAATCCCAGCACTTTGGGAGGGTGAGAGACGGGCAGATCACCTGAGGTCAGGAGTTCGAGACCAACCTGGCCAACATGGTGAAATTCCATCTCTACTAAAAATACAAAAATTAGCCGGGCGAGGTGGCGCATGCCTGTAATCCCAGCTACTTGGGAGGCTGAGGCAGGAGGATCACTTGAACCCGGGAGGTGGAGATTGCAGTGAGCTGAGATCACGCCACTGCACCCCAGCCTGGGTGACAGAGTGAGACTCCATCTCAAAATTAAAATAAAATAAAATGCACGTTCTTTTTACAATGAACACGTGTGTGTACACTGTATGTGTATGTATACGTATGCTGTATTGTGTTTTTCTGTTGGAGTTTATATTTCTCAAGGGCGTGGGCCATATCTTCCGCTTTGGGTGCCCTGTGGTTTCCATGGACATGGTGAGATGACTGAGCGTGTATGCAGGACCAATAATTGGAGTGACCCATTCCACTCTTCTGTGTCAGGCTGATGAACCTGACTGTCTCCACTCCAGGCATGTGAGGCCTTGTCTTGTTTTGATGACAGCACTGAGAAGTAGACTGTGTTTCCCAGCCCCACGTGCTCGGAGGTTGATGTTTGCACGCGTGTCCATGAGGTGGCCGCCGGGAAGAAGAGAGAGTGGATGAGCACATAGGGCTCTCTTGTTAGTTGCTCTGTTGCTGTGTTTCTGTTTTTGTTAATAGCAGTCATGCATTGTTGATGAGCACCCTTGTGCCTGGGAGTGGTGGTGGGTGTGTGCCTGCCCATCTCCCCTGCCCTTCCTGTCCAGAACGCAGAGCCAGCATCTTTCTCCAGGTGGCAAAGAAAACCTCTACAGGAAAATACAGCAAGGGTTCTCGGTGATGCTTTAACCTCTGCCTTCCCCTCCTTTTTTTCTTATCCTGTTTATATTATTAAGCTTTGTTCACTTCTAAGCCTATCATGTGATGGTTGTACCTTTTCCTCATGTGATCTTTCAAAAAGGGTGATCTGTATGCTATATTTTTGAGTAATTAGACATTTTGTAACAGGTCACATTGGAGGCTCTTTTAACATATGTGTGTAAAATAAGTAAATGTGAATTCTTATTGAAACAGCATGTTTAACCGTGGCCTGTGGTCTTCACCAGGCCTAAGTGAGGACGGAGGCTTTGAGTTGGATGTGGCTCGTCCATTAGACTCCTTGTCTCCCTCACATGGTTATGACTGGCCATTGCTTTTATGGCCAGAGCCCTTAGTTAATTCCCCCCCATGCTGTGATCTCTCTTCGGTGTATCTTCTCCACACTAGTATCCTGAAGACAGTTTCTTTTTCTTTCTTTTTCTCTTTTTAAGATCTACCAGAAATACTGGAGGTGAATATATGTTTAAAATCTGAGTTTGAATTAGTCATGGTAGGAAGTTTTCTCCATGGTATTTAGAGTGAGTTAGGAGAGATTTGTCATCTCAGTTTGGATGACTGACAAAGCTGCAACCAGACTCAGCTAGATTTCAAATCAGGCGGTTTATGGGAAAAGAGAGGAGGAGCTATGATCATGAGGTATTTCTAAGATCCGTTGTTTTTGGTGGATTGTTAATTCCCGGTGAGAAAACAGAGAATGAAATCAGTATGCTTCCATATGGGCTGTGTTTCCATTAGATATAAATTGCGTTTGATTTTTGATGAAAAGTCAGCATAACCCTCTAGAGGTGTCAGGTGCCCCTTGTCCTGGAAAGAGGACGCACACTGTGATTGATGGGGTCCTGGCTGTGTGTTTTTAGGTGACAGGGAAATTTGTTTACCCATGAAATGT